GGACAAAGGACCGGCTATGAGTCAGCATGGACTTGACAGCAGTCGGTCTGACGGACGGGTACCAACTTGCTCAGAGTGGGGCTGTTCAGCGTCAACGTATCAGCGAGGGTGTTGCTGCTATTGACAGTGAGTTGAGTTTGGGCGCATACAGAGCCCACGCAACACTGCAGGCAGAGCAGAACTGCCCTGCTGGATGGTTTTCTAGGTGATCCCTGTGACCGGATTGATTTCTGCATCTTTCATCCATGGAGCCATTCGGTGGGTTCAAACTCCCAACCTTGTGGTGAGCAGTTGAGTATTTTAACCACATGGGCCACCATTTTGCCATCCACCAGAATGGTGGCAAGCCAGAAGACCCAACCAAAGAGGACTCAGCGGCCCTGCCCCCCAACATGAGGAAGCCAGGAGGAAAGGGGCCGGCTCACTAACCTTGATTCCAAGTTCTATATTCTCTCCTCCGTACACGTCCATCCCAGGGTCGAGAAGACCAATCTCACCGAAGAACTTCCTGTTGACCACGAAGGAGCAGCCGATCATGGCTGGCGTCCTGCGGGGAGGAGAGAGAGAAGTTCTCATTCAGGGGTCAACATCAGTCTGAGAGGGTGCTGGCTGGAACCCTAGAGACAAAATACCTTCCCTGAAGACACCCTATCCCATGGCCCCTCTCTTCAAGACAGTAACCTCTGAGTTTGGGATCTTGAAGGAGCCAGAGCAACCTGGCTCCTTCATAGATGTGGACTCACACAGCAGAGGTGACCATAAACTTGAGACCCTGGGCCCTCGCTCTGGTGTCCTCTAACCTTGTAGGGCCAGCGGAGGACCCAGGGAAGTGAGGCGCAAGATGGAATGATATGAGCCTTCGCAAAGGGATGCGGCACAGAACTAGGGTGGGGCAGATCAAGAAGGAAGGTCTTAATCCTTCACCTATAAACAGCTCCCACAACTCAAAGAAAACCAAGCCAGTCCAAAAGAAGAGGCAGAGGACTTCTATCGCCATTTCACCCAAGAGGACACACAGCTGGCCAGTAAACCCATTCAAAAAAGGTTAGAGGTCATTCGTCTTTTTAAAACAATGTTTTGCCATTGAGTGAATTCTGACTCACAGTGACCCCAGAGGACAGAGTCCAGGGTTCCCGAGGGGGCCATCGTTAGGGGAGCAGTTGGGTGGGTCCAACAGTCAGCCTTTCCTGGCAGCATATAGTAGCTGTGCGTGTGCTTCATTGCTGTGCCACCGGGGAAATGTCCATTAGGCTCACTATGTGCTAGCCGCTCACTCGTGTTTGAGTGCGGTGATAGAATGCCAACCCAAACAAACAGAGCCCAACACCGCCCAGGGAGCATCAGCTACTGAAGAGGAGGTAGAGGCAGGGTGGGCCTCCTGCCCTGCTGGTGGGGGATACAAAATTCCACAGGGAACAGTGGGGTGGGAGTAGGGGATCCCTGGATGCTAAAGCCACACTCACTGAAAGATGGCAGCTGCTATGGAAGCAGGTTGACCACATGACCCAGCCATCAATCCCAGTCCTGGGTACATATCCCCAACCACACTAAAAGCAGGAACGCAAGCAGGAAGGTGGACACTAATGTCCCTCGCAGCACTTTCCCCAAGGGCCCAAAGGTAGACCAACCCAAATG